GCTACATAGTTTAACAATCTCAGCATGTTGTACAACTTGTCTTTGAATTTTGAGTATTCAGTGTTATTTTATCTATGGTGATTGCTGGTATGGGTCTATAAAATGTTTAAACTTCGGTTCCAATTACAATGTAATTAGGTTGAATATGTTTTCTAGTACAAAATGTCTAGTTTTGCTAAATGGAAGTCATAAGTGATATATTGGTTCAGTATTGATCTTTTTTTAATAAAAAATGTTTTTAAATCTACTGACAATCTAGTTAGATTCTCTGTTGATTCTATTTGTTGAGCAAGTTTTTTTATTTTTATTTTTTTACCTTCTTCAAGACATAAATTGGCTCTTTTCTGTTTTACTGATTGCATGCTTGCATATACCGGTAGTTTGTGTGATCTTTAGTTCTCCTAACTTTAGTCTCTTTGGGTTCTTGATTTGTATGGGTAATGTTTTCTGACTGGTAGTAGTTTGTTTTCTACTGATTTTTGGTTGTGTTGAGATCATGATCACTTTTCTGATATAATTATTGTGTCTAGATTTTTCACGTGTGTTCGTGATTCAAGTTAACATATCAGTGAGTTTTTATAGTAAAGTTTTATATTTAGTTGATCTACATGATCTTGTTTTTTTTCTTGCATGTCTTTTATGTTAACTTTGTTGGGGTTCTGAAACATCAGGTTGTTAATTTTAGGTTGCTTTAATAATTGCGAAAAATAGGAAAGTATATAGTTTGTTGCTGATAAAACTTATTTTCTGATTGATTGTCAACTTGTCTTTTAAGACTGACATCTACTGTTTTATTTTTGGTGTTAAACAAGTTAATACATGGGTTTTATATCCTAACGTTATATGATGTTTCTCAAATAAAAAACAAAACTCATTTTGAAAAAAATAAGTTGTTTGATTTTAGTTTTTTTTTTAAAAAACTTGTTTTTTCTTTATAAATAATGGTTGCAAAATATTTTTTTGGATGGTATTTGGTTGTCTGAAGGTTGAGATATTGGTCTATTTTTCTAAAAATGTAAACTTTATATATATGAAGATCAGTGTAAGATTCATTAGTGACTTAAGATTGAGTAGGTGTATCTGAAATCTATTTTTTTGTCATATTTGTGCAAGTGTAATCTTGTGTTAGGTTCTTTTGTTCTTGAATATAGAGTCAACTTCTTTCTAAGATGTTTTGGCTGTGTGTATTGGGAAATGCATAACTATATATTTTACCATAAGTTTTTAATACATATTTTTGTATCTCTTTATGACTTATCTATGTCATAAGCAAAAGAGTGTGCATTTATGTTGGAGGTTATGGTGTGCAATAAAACTTTATGTTGGACATCAATTGTTCTTTTTAAAACGAGTTCATGTTTGTGCATGAGTTCATTTTAAATCTGGTTTGTATGGTACGACCTAAGTTTTAGGTTAGACTATATTTGTTTTCTTGATTTCTATGAGATCAATCTCACTTTATGATTGTGAGTGTTTTTTTATCTTTGGTATTTGTTATTCCTAGATTGTTAGGAATGTAATATCGTTTTTTTAATCCATTAATAGATTTATTTTGTGTGGTTTTCTTGAGGTCTTTGTTTCGACTTTTTGTTTTCTGAAAACTAGCAAATTTTTTTTTGGATTATTGTTATTTCTGTTTTAGATATAGTTTTCGATCTAACTTGTTGTGTTTGGCATGAACTGAATTTTTAGTTCTATATAATATGCAAACACTTGTGTAACAAGAAATGTTCATTATTTTTTTATCATGATGTTGGTCTATTTAGGCTTGTGATTCAGATCCTTGTTAATGGATATATTTCTATGGTTCTTTGATTTGCTGTTTTGTCTGTTGTCTCGATCACGAGTAAACTTTTGTTTTATTATTTGGTGATATTCGAGTTATATTTCAGAGTTGGTAAATTTTCAGTTTCTGAACAATTTTGAGGTTTGTGTAGCCTCATATTTTTTGGCTGTGGGATTGTTGTCATTCTCAATAATTCTCAAAGTGGTCTCATGGCTTTATCGGGGTTATGTGTTTTTTTTGTTGTAGAATTTTGTGTTTCTTTTATATTCAATCAAAAATTTAATAGTCCATTGCTTTGTGTTGAATTCCTCCTTAGGATGTTGAAGGCTTCTTTAAAACAAGATGTTTTATTAGTTATTTCAACTTATGTTAGGAGGGTATATGTTTTTTTATCCATTTTTGGGATTGTGAATTTCATGCTTAGAATTTTTCCTTGTTGGTAATTCTTTTTTGTTTTTGGAAGTGTTGCATTGATGTTAAGCTATTTGTTGATGTAATCAAGTTTAAAAAAGGATTTTGTCTTTGCTGTTGACGATTGGTCAGTTGCAGAATTTGCAATTGTTGGATTTGTTCTGAAGAGTTTTTTTTATTATTGGTGGGATATTAATATTTTTTAGATAAATCTGTTTTTTTGAAAACTCTGTTTTTTATAAAGCTCTTTGTTTTGCCAATTTTTTTTAAAAAAAATTCTTCTGTCTGACTTGAGCATAAAGATTTAAATATGCTTATTATTTGTTTTTTAAATGTGATATTCTTAGTAAAATTTTGTCAAATTATATTGTTTCATTGGTAAGATTAAGGGAGGGTGTTGCTTATCTATGTAATCTTATCAATGATGTATCAGTATAATCTTTAATTTTTTGGTTTTCCAGGAAAGGACTTTGGTTTTGTTCTAAAGGATTGGTTGTGCTGAACAAGTGGTTGAATAAATGACTAACTTTACAGACTTGGCTGTTCAAGTCTGTTCTCTGGAGTCTTTTATCTTTTCTTTCCAAGTTTAGGATTAAGGGAGGGTGTTGAGAAATATAATTATTTCTTAACAATTTCCAATCATAAACTTGGTATTAATAAATTTGGTTTTCTAACTTTGTAAGTTTGGTGCAGAATGTAGCTGTTTTAATGTTGGATAAAGATTAAGGAGCAACTAGTAATTACTCTAAAGTCGATTGTTGTATGAAGTTTTATACTTGTAGCAGTTTGTGTCGTGCATATTAAACCTGGAGGGTACTGGAGCAAATATGGAGAAAGATCAAGGTTACCAGAGTCATAATGAATAGTCTAAGGACTATCTGTGAAAATTATTCAACCATATATTTGTGTCGTCATGTTAGCTAGAGTTAATTTTATTTTTTCAGTTCATTATTTCTTTATCACACACGAGTCTCTCAGTTCTCTCATCATCTTCTTCTTCAGATTAGGGTTTGGTCTTCTTCTTCAGATTAGGGTTTGGTCTGTTTAGGGTTGTTCTATTCTTGTTGATTTTGTTCTGTAAAATCTTAAATCTGTTGGTTTCTTTATATACATCTGAGAGTGAGTACTTATGTAGTGAGTTTTCAGTTGTAAGTATCTTGAAAACCAACTGGATCTTATTTTCATTTAATAAAAGATCTGTTGATGTTGTGAATAGATTTGTTGTTTACATTTTTGACAGAGAACCATAGAGAGAAGTTGGAAAGGTGTGAGGGAAGGAATGAGGCTTGACCCTCTATTTATAACTGATTTTTGACCATGCGTGTCGTGCACTCGTGCTATGCTGCTTCTTCAGATGGTTTCCATGTGTAGCTATCGACGAGTACTATAACTTTTATTTAGACTCTATCGGCTAATGCTCACTTTATTTTTAAAGTTATATTTTTAAAGAGCTTAGACTGTTAAAATCTGTATAAAATCATAACTCCTTCATATGACATCCGTTATTGATTGTCCTTATATCGACGGGTTCATATTCACGAGATGTTTAACTCTCGTTCAGATTGTTTCGGCTAGCAATCAACCGATTTGAATTTCGATTATTGTGTCACACTGTTGTGCCAGAACTTTGAAAAATCATAACTTCTTCATACGAAGTCAGATTTAGGCGTTCTTCACATGCACGTTCTCACAATTACGATTACTACGACTTTTATTAGATCACCAAGGCTAATAAGTACTACATTTCTACTTCGAATTTTATAAACAATGGGTTATATTGAATCATACTAAAGAGTGAAAACGAGGTGTTACAATGGCGATGATGAACGATTTGTTTATGATGGTGTATCCTCTGTTATTGGAGCAGATGGACTGGAATTGAGATGGTGGTGTTCTCGGTGGTGTCAAGGTGATAACCTGATGGTGATGTTGAGGGTGAAGGAGTGTTGAACCCGTGAACGGAGATGAACAGTCTGGTGTGCGCTTTATACATGATAGGATACTCCCGTGAGATAATAGAGTTTTCCAAGTGGCTTCTGGACAACAACAAATATTTATTGGCTAAATCCTTGAAGATAGGTGCTAAAGAAAGGTAGGCGATTAAAGAACTTATACATCACCTATTTGTTTGTAATTCAAATGCAGGTTGTGAAACAAGAAACATATGTTGATGGTAGTGATCTTGGTTATTTAGAGTTGTTTTGTTTTTCAAATTGAATATAGAAGTAGATGAAGAGATTAAAAGCTCTGTTAGTGAAGAATCTGTTAGTATATTAGAGTATCCAGTTGTATTTAGAGTTCATGATTTGGTAATTTAAAGCCAAAGAATAATAAACTGAAACAAGTATAAAGAATTTGAAGTAGTCAATGATTTTGACTTTTTTTTTATGGAATTAATCGAGTGTTTTATTCAAATGATACGGTTGGGGTGGGGTAAGGAGGAATTCTTATATATATATATATATATATATATATATATATATATATAGTTAAATAAGAAAAAAATAAATGAAATTAAAATGGGCAAAAAAGTCATTTTATTTGGCTCGGGACCAACTATGCAAGTTTTAGAAACCAAAGGGACCGTATTCATAAAAAAAATTAGCTGGAATTGAAATTGTGATTTTTGGTAAAGCATGGGGACCATTTATGTAATTTTGTCTATATTAAATTTCAAAAAAAAAATGATGAAGAAAAAAAAAACTTTAATTCATATTTTGCATTGATCTGAGACTCTCAGAGGCTAGACGTGGCGCTGTATTAATCATCCAAAAATAAAAGAAACTAAAATAGTAAATGAAAATGATGAGAAAACAAAACAAACAACCACCCAACACCATGGTGATACTACTACAACTTTAGCTGCCGCCGACTGCTGGTTCTCCGGCGACTGTTGAGTGAGCCGACGACATGTCTGCGATGGCGCAGCTCGCTATCGTCACTGCCGCTTGTACTAATCTACATCAAACTTCCAAATGCTTCGGTTTTACCTTCCACATCGACGGCCACAAATTGGCCTCCGTCTTCACCACCACCAGCAGCCGTGATACTGCTACAATCAGGAGCAGAAAGAAAGCTCCTCTATTGGTCACTTGCTCTGTATCTAAGCCGTCGTCCTCCACCGAAATCAGGTAATTCGCTCTTCCACACACACTCACACTTATATGATGAGATGGATCGAATTGCTCTGTACGAATTGCACGTCTTGTGATCCTTGCTGGACCTTCAAACTTAGTGAAATGTTTACGACTTATTTTTGTGTTCGATTTTAAGATATTAGTTTCGACAGTATCCAGATTCAGTTACTATAAGTTTGTGAAGTAAAAGAAATTAAGCCCTCCCTGAATAACTGAATTCTTGATTTCTTGTAAACATTAATCAATCAAAATCAAATTCTTGGTTTGTTTGGTCTTCAGTTCAACAGCCAGGATCAGGAGTGAAGTTCTTACTCCTTTCAGATCAGTGAGGATGTTTTTCTATATCGCTTTCATTGCACAAGCTTCTCTTGGTGGACTGATAGCCACCACACAACTCATTGGTGCTCTGGCTAATCCTTCAAGAGCAGATTCAGTGATTGATATTGCCAAAGGCCTAGGCATAGACATAGGAGCTGCATCTCTCTTTGCATTCCTATATTACAGAGAGAACAAAATCAAGAATGCCCAAATGGCCAGGCTCTCAAGAGAAGAAAACCTCTCAAACCTTAAACTGCGTGTAGATGAAAAGAAGACAATTACTGTTAGTGAACTTAGAGGATTTGCACGTCTTGTGATCCTTGCTGGACCTTCATCTTTCATTACAGAGGCCTTCAAACTTAGTGAAACATTTACTGAACAACTCATAGAAAGAGGTGTGCTTGTGGTGCCTCTTTCAACAGATGGAAATGTACCTACTTTTGAGTTTGATGAGACTGAAGAAATGAAGGAGTTAACAAACAAAAGAAGAAGACTCTGGCAGCTTGTACCTCTTCTTACACCAGAATGGTCCGAGTAAGTGCCTTAACTTAACTAATGGTACAAATTGTGGTCACTAACTTTTTTTTTTTTTTTTTTTTTTTCTCATATGCTAAACATTTTTGCATACTCCAGGTGGCTAGATGATCAGAAAAAACTGGCCAATGTATCACCTGAATCTCCTGTGTAAGCCTTTTCTTTTTCTTATTAATTATTTATGAATATTGCATGCACAAGGTATCGTTGTTTTTTCACATTCACAAATGACAAGAAGAATTTATAAAATTGGTGAATTTGAAGGTATTTATCTCTACGAATGGATGGTCGTGTTCGTGGGAGTGGTGTGGGGTACCCACCTTGGAATGCTTTTGTAGCACAGTTACCTCCAGTAAAAGGAATGTGGTCTGGACTTCTTGATGGAATGGATGGAAGAGTTCTTTGAAAATTCATTTATTACTTTTCAAATTTATCAAGGTTTGACTCATCTTCAGCAATGCCCTCAACTTAATGCATTTTTTCTTAGGCAGTTTTAGGATTGGTAGTATGATGAAATCTAGAAAGGAATGGAATGGTTCTTTCCATTTTTTTATGGTTCCAAAATGGAATGGACAATGTGGCTCTTCCACTTTGTTTAATTTTCATTCCTTAGCCATGGGGTGTTTTTTTTACCTTTCCATCGTGGAATGGAATGAACAATTGCAGTCTAATTCATTTTTGTTTATGTAACTTTTAATGACACGTTTTTTTTTTTTTTGAAAAATGTTCATTGTTTCGATTAAATTACTATTTTACTTTCATTCATTAGACCATCTATTCCAATACTATTTAATTATCTCCATTTGTTGCTCCGATTTACTTCACTGAAACCAACAAATGGGTGATTCATCTTATCAATCATCATAGTCAAAGTTGATTTCAAGTAGAACTCTCATTCATTCATTTGATGGTGTTTATTTTGCAGAAATTCAAGTCTTTGGAGAGCCAGAGCAGATAACAAGATGAATATATATATATATATATATATATATATATATATATATATATATATATATATATATGTACACAACAGCTTTGTCAATTAAAAGAGAGATATCAACTAATTTCTCAGAATGTGGTTTTTGTATAGCGTATATAGTAGTATACCATATGAATTTTCTAGAACAACCTTTCTTATATTGAAACTACTTTTATCATACTAACGATTCACATAACAATATATCTTTCTTTATCATATGTTCATTGAAATAAATATTATATAGAAGTCTAGTAACCCATAATTAAGTGGTATGTATAACTATATATATGCATGATGATATTTTATGATCGAAGCAAAGGGATAGCAAACAATATATTTGATCAAATTTAGGCACTCGAGGAACTGAGAAACTATTTTTACAAATTCATTGGCAAAAAAAGACTGAAATAAAAGGAATTGTAGAATGACACATGCACAAGAAGCTCATCTAAACTTCCTTGATCTCATCCAATGCATAGTTGTTTGTGGAAACATTTGCATAATTCACTTTGTTGAACCTCACAACAACTGGATAGCGACTCTTTGGATCCTGCACATCACATTAATTACACTCTATCAATAATTCAACATCAACAACCACTTTTGCACAAAAAAATGAAAACAAAGAAAAAAAAAGCTTTACCTGATCAACGGTCACAACTGAGCCTACACCTTTAAACCAGTAGGACTCCTTCCGGAGGATTCTCACCTGAAATTGTTTTGGATAATAGTTAACACAGGTTTAATATTTGTAGGAAAGAAAAAAAGTTAGGTTAATTTTGTTGTTGTGGAATAATTAATTACCTTGGCCCCTCTCTTGGGACCAATCGGAGGTGGCTTTGGTGCAGCTTCAGTAGTGGCAGCCGGTGGTGCCGCCGCCGCCGCCTCCTCGGCAGCCTTTACAACCACCAGTCTGGAAGACTTGGTGTTCTTGGAGTTGGATGAAAACTTAACCATGGTGCACTTGGCCATGGTTGTGTTGGAGGTTACATTTGGTGCCACCACGAATCCAGTAGCAGCAGATGCCATGTTGCAGCTTGACATTTTCTTTCTCTAAACAGGTATGAATATTGAATTGAATACTGCTTCTTTTTTTCTTTTTCTTCGTTTCTCGAGTTGTTTTGGTGATGATGAACAATTTTAACTAATTGAAATTCAGTGGCTTTTTAGTTAATTTTGGGGGATCTTTTTCTTGGAGGATATCAGTGATTGGAAGTAGACTCAATGCTCTACCCAGTTAAGTATTGCCACATGGACATCCATATCCGTTATAAGGATAATGTTATCCCACATCATTTCCTTTTTAGTCTAGCTACCCTTGTGTGTATTTATTTTTTGTAATATAATTTTCAAGAATCGATTATAATTAGACACGTAACCTAAATTACCTAATTATTCTTATCACCAAAGTCAGTTTTATATAGGTGGCTTTATTATTTGATGATAAGTTTAAAAAACATTTAATAGGAAACACATATTTTTAAAATTAAAATTTAACTTTCAAAAAAGAATTGTTGAGAGCGGGATTTGAACCCACGCCCTTTCGGACCAGAACCTTAATCTGGCGCCTTAGACCAACTCGGCCATCTCAACAGATGACACCGTTCTTACAATTAAGTTACATATCCAATAAACATGATGGTCTCTCAACTTCCTCACAGCTCTCACAAAGTCACATCCAATTTCCCATTGGTTGCAATGTAGTAACGCTAAAGCTGCAGCCTGCATCCTTAAGTTTGAAAGAAAAATTGTCGGATTTATAATAAATGCTCTCGAATTTGAAAGAAAGCAAAATTTAATAAGTTTTTCGTCATGTTTTTAAATTGAAAGAGCTATAAATTATAACAAATATTCTTTATATGTTCTTGAGTTTTAAAGAGACGAAAATGTCATTTCTTTCATGTTGGAATAAATGAAGAGGAAAAAAAATTTACAAATGAAAAGTGACCTGTAATCAATTGTCAATATTGTTTATATTTTGTATTTTTTATACATTATTGACCATTAAATTTTTATTTTGTATTTTAATTATATTCTTATGACTGGTTATAGTAAGTTAACGTTTAATCGACAACTTGACATATATGTGACATCTATGTGATATATGAGATTGAGAAAATTACTTAAGAGGATAACCGACTGTCACCTTTTTCACATTTGATCCTTTTTTGTACACGACTAATCATTAATCTCTCATTTTGTATTCAAATTATACATGTATCGCTTACAATAACCAGTATTGTTGGTTTCATCTCTTCATCTCTCAGAATACAACCGTTACAGCCAAACCCTCACAAATTATTGTCGATCATAAGGGTTTAATTTGAACACGAAATGTGAGTTTAATGGTCAATGGTGTACAAAAAGGGATCACATGTGAACAAAAATGACAATCGATTATCCTTTTAAGTCATTTTTCCCAATTTTATGTCACATATGCCACGTATATGTCAATTGAGCATTAAGCTACTACAATCGGTCTTAAGGGTATAATTTGAACAAAAAAAAAAAAAAAAAAGTTTAATGGTCAGTAATGTATAAAAAAATTGACAAAATATAAAATACTAATAATTGGTATTTTCCCTTCCAAAAAACATATGGATGTGAATTAGCTCCTCGAAGAAATGAATTATGGCCATATTTTTTTGGATATTTTAGTAAGATTGTTTTTTATGTACAACACTATAATTTCACGAAAATTTTAAAATACAATGTTTTAATATAAAAAAAGTTAATGTGCAATGATGTAATATAAATGACTTATGAAAATCCGATGTTATAACAAATAAATGAAAGTATGTTGTTATTTCTTGCTTTTAACATATACCTTATTTTTACTTTGAAAACTCAGTCTTCTTGTATTTATAATGTTGGTAGTGAAAAGAAATACTTGAATTAACTTACTTATAATTTTGAGATTATATAATATTAAACGCCTGCTTGTCAAGAGCTCGAACCGAAAACTCTACATATCTTGTTATTGTAAGTACAATATACATATCAAGACATTGAAATTGCATGTATGGTATAGGACATCTAATTTATAATTTGTCTCGTCAAAAACCAACATTATAAATACATGAAGACTAACTTAAAGTAAGAAAGTTTCAAAAATAATTTCACTAAATATAACAATGCTCGTTCGTGCCCCCACATTAAATTTCTAAAATTTAATAGCAATAACGAACAATGAAGTCAGCTAAACGACGAATCTACTAAAATAAGAAGCATCAGTCTATCTTACTAGGTTTGGTTCCCCAAAGGACATGTAGACTAATAGAACACACATGGATGCATAAAGAGAAGCAACAAATGTGTATTGTGTATATGAACACAAAAACTCTCATGTCCATCATATTTTTGCCTCTCCAACACTATAAAGAGGTTTAGTGTATGAGGACCAATAGTTTCTTCATAGGGCTTCAAAGTTTTTCTCGATTTCCATGAGTTGTTTGGGATCATCGTCCACTAATCGCCTACAATTATAAGCAAACTCAATACTTCATCAAACAGTTGATAACATCAGAAATAATGACAACTTATCATTTATTCTTGAATCACAGTTAGCCAACTGGCATCTAACGCCTTGTTCCCGAGTTCCACTTAAGGAGAGAAATGGGAGGATACGGAGGGAGAGTGAGAGGTGTCGAAGGAAAATCGTGTTCCCGAGTTTCATTAATGGAAGGAAAGTGAGGGGAGGGGAAAGATTTTGGAGTCATATTTTCCTTCCAAATTTTCCTCCCAAATTGGACGGATTTGGGAAGAAAGTGAGGGGAAGGAAAATTTTTAGTTTTATTTTCTTTTTCCTCCTAACTCGGGAACACAAAAACTTAAAATTTTTCTTTCATTTCTTTTCATTTCCTTCGAACTCGGGAATACGGAATAATGAATATTTTCCTTCACCTCCCTTTCTTTCCGTCAAAATTTTCCTTCCCTTTCCTTTAATGAATTTACAAAAAAAACTCGGGAACAAGGCGTAAATCTAACTATTTGTAAAAAATGTCAAAAATAACGACTACTGAATCATTTAATCTCGAATGAAAGTTGCCAAAAAAACCTTTGAAATCCATACAAGAAAAGTTTTGAATTCTTAATTGAATGGATTATTGATGGGAAATTATGTCAAGATATATAAGGGTCTGAGTGGATGTAATTGAATGGATTATTGTCAAGGTGTTTATATTATTTCGTAGTATTATATATCTAGATGTAGTATTTAACTATTTATTAACACTTTGAAAAAGAGATATATATTATTGAGTTTATTTCCACTTCAGATATTAATCAGTGACGTTTTTTGAATTTGTTATTTATAGTAGTAAAAAATTAACATAATAAAATTCATTAAAACTATAAATATTTTAATAAATAGTTATTTTTAAGTTATTTTTTTTAAAATAAATTAAAAGTGTAAGCTTTTTTAAAAGATGTATGTTATTAAAAGTCACATTGAAATGTGAAAAAAAGTAAGAAATGATATCCCATGGTGGTGTGCTCTTCTGAGTGGGTGTGTGTTGTGCCAAAGGCATGCGTATAGTATAGAAAGATTCTCATCCAAGGACACCGGAATAAGGGTTTAATGACCTAAGTCTGGCTGCTAGAGATAAATCGATGTACTTACCTTACCAGCCTCATACATCTTCCCTGGTCCCTGCTCATTGCAAGGAGGAACGAAAGACTTTTGATGCTGTCCCAGAGCCGGCTTGGAGGGATCCCGATATCGATATGCTCTGCTGGAATATACAGATAAAATATGGATCGGATCATTGCCCGGATACACTCGTCCCTTCTTTCTCCGTCTAGATGCCCGGAGAGGATGAAACAAAAAAGGTTGTTATTTGCCGTTCATTGTCTCGGTTCGGCTCAGACTTACAAATTGTAAGGAATAACATTCCTTAAAATGGTTCGTTTCATTAGACTAAACAAATGTTTTTTTTCCATGGAATTAACCATTCAGTTTCTTTTCTAACTTTATCATTAGAATGATATGATTAAGTGTAAGAGTTTCAACCTCACTTGACACCAGATTGAAATGATTTTGTAAGTAAAACCATGTTGTTTAATAAAAAAAATTATTAGCTTATCGAATGGTATGATATATTCTAGGTTTGAGCACATAGGACAAATACTCGATCTCAAATGGGCCCCGTATCGTACCGATAGGGGCAGACCCAAGAATTTTCCAAAAATGGGACAATTTTTTTTATAACTTTTTATGGGGGGGGGGGCAAATATTTTTGGAGAGTCAAAATATATAATTTTAGAAGGTTAAAATATAATATTTTTTTTGAAAAAAAACCTATTTTTTAATTAAATTTTTTTTTTGTTGTGGGGGCAACTGCCCCCACTGTAGGATCGCCAATGTGTACCGAGACCGATGCCTATTAAGCATATCTGGTCGGTCCGATACTGGTTCTATGAATTTGGAGAAAAATGTATTAGCTTCCGGTACTACGGAAAACTCTAGAAAAAAAAAATGGTCTTGAATGTAAGCATGATATGTTTTGATTATGGGTATCGCTATCCATTCAAGCTTGCTTTTCAACCAGGATAAGGCTTTAGTGTGTAGACTCTTGAGGATAAAGGTTGTAGAACGTTGTAGATTGAAGTTGCATAGCAGAAGAGGAGTAAGGCATCAACTTCGGTTCTAAGCAGCTACACCCTTTGTTCATCTAGTTTCTTGGAAAGAAAGTTTGTATGTTTATGGTCGACTTATGTCGTTGATGTCGTGGACTTAGTTTGATTACTTAAACCAAGCGAACAACTTTAAATTTGTATGTTCTTTTTTAATATTTTGAATATCTGATCGTTTAGATAATTGTGTTTGTGAGCTTTTATGGAAGTCCTTAATCCTAACAATAGAGAGAAAGGTCCAAATTATTAAAAGGTCTTAGGATCAAAGTAGAAAAAAAAAATAATAGTAATTTTTGAATAAAATAAAACTTTATTACCTTCTTTAAACAATCTATGTCGGTGTTTAAACAAAGGGACTTAATGTGACAATTGTGTTTTTTAAACAATATAACGTGCAAATATTTTAGCTCTCACTTTTCAGAAACTCTTCAAGTAATTGAATCTACGCGCGTGTATTACCCGAGCACGAAAAATACGTAGAACGATGTTTTGTTACCCTTCCTAGTCTTTTTATTTTTATTTTTTTAATTTTTTTTTTGTCACGTAAAAGAAAAACCTAAATTGAAGAAACTATCGGCTCTCTCTGCAAGACATTGAATCAGCTTGCATCGCTGGAGGTTTTGTTTACCGGAATCTGCTTTTACAGTCCAACGGTAAGCTTCTCAATATATCTAACCTCAATATATCTATAAAAAACTAGGAGTTGTTCAAATTAGTGTATTCGAATTTAAAACCCTAATTATGCTTGGTACTTGGCAGGGATGAAATTTTCGATTAACTAGAATAGAATAGAGATGGTATTATTTCGTCTTGCAATTTATGTAATTTTATGATTGACTGATGGATTACTTGATTGGTTGGTCTCCCATTCCATAATTTGCTTAGAGAAATGTAAATCATTTTATGGGTTGAGGGCAATTCAGACAGACTGTTGTACTCATCATGAAAGTATACCCTTTTTTTTTTTTTACTACCTTCTTGGTCTGAAAGTGAATGAGGCTTTTGTTTAAGTTCAAGATAAGGAGATAACATGGTTTCAGTTGTTTCACTTCACATTCAAAGAGATGGATATGTTTAGCTAATATTCAAAGCTGTGTTCCCTTTTCAGGTTTGTGTGTTACTAGTATTTGCAAGCAATCATGGATTGGGGTTTTGTGAATAGAAACTGGGAAAAATGGGCATGTAACAATGTTGGTTTTGATGGTATGCAAAATTGCAAATGCAATAACATTTCACTTGGGTATCTAATTTCTTGCTGTTCTTTTCACAATGCTTATGTTGATTTGTAAGTTACAGGTGAACCATTAAAGGCTGCTCTCCTAATCAATTATGACCCAACTGGACCTTCTCGCCTGCTGTCTACAATGTAAGGAAAGTTCTGAAGCATCCATATGTCTTTTATGAATGCCAATGGTGATTTGAAGATAGATAGATGTTGATGCTTTTTGTAGTGCAGAGGAGGAAGGTATAGAAGCAGACCCCATTGAAGTAGGCGAGTTTGTGAACTTCATCAAACGAGGCAATTACCAGAGTGAAAGCTTCTTTATTGAATCAAATCAATGTAAGTTGTTAAACGTTATAGATTCTTCTTGATAGAAGAGAAATTTTACAACTACTGGTTTTGGTGGCAGATGTGGTTACATCAATACACGAGAGTTGGTTTTGTGGAAGGTGCATGAACACTTCAAAGCCTGCGGGTGAAGGAGCTATAGTCTACAAGACGCCATCTTTTCTCTTTGTTGCCTTGTAAGAAAACCAACAACTTTTCTGTATTCTATTTTATTTTATTTTTTTTACTGCAATTTTTTATTTTTAATTTTTTAATGCAATGGTAGATATGAAGGCTCCATTGGTGCTGCATCTCGTGCAATGGCTGCAGTTGACCGTTTTGCATGCCAATTGGAACGAAGAAATTTTTGATAATGAATGTACAACCCATCTACTCCTTCCTTTTCTCCATTTCTTATCCATAAACTTCAATTTCTGGGAAGCAAAGTTCGACTATTTTGGTCTCTGTCACATTTTGATAACTTAAATACATATAGGATTAGGACCAGGTTAATTTCCATATGAGGGCATAATAGTAAAACTCTTAACCCCGACCCCGATTTGAGGTGAACAATTCAATGTTTTCAATGTTTGGTTTGTGCATAGAATAGAGCAAGACCTTGTGAAATCTGTTGCATTGCCCAATTTAACATAAAAGGGTGACCAACTTTCTAAAATGTTTAAAAAACACCCTCCCAACTAAAAAATCGTCATTATAAAGTAACTAACTAATATTAACTTTTTTAATAGACCACCCACCAGGAATAACCCGTTGCGTAGGTAGGTAAAAAGCCAGATAAGCATGGTGAAAATATATTATTACTCTTGAAAGATTTTTTTCCCTATTAGCTACTATCAATGAAAATATATAATAATACTATTGAAAGATATAATATTAGCTCCTATCAACGAAATATTTGATATATATTTGGATCTTCCAATTAGCTCTGATCTTTTTTCCATCACCCAAGAAACACGAAGAAATTTGGGTATTTGTTTATATGTGAAATTGTTAGTGTTGTGATCGCATCATCATCTACTATGTCATGGCATTGATTAAATATTTCTAGATTATGTGGCATCATAATCTCACCCTCAAGATTCAAACACTATCTAGTAGGGGTGTTGATCAGGTATAACTTTCGGGTTTCAGGTAGTTTGGGTTTTTTCAAATAAAAAAAATAACCGATAACCGAACCGTATTAAATTCTAGGATTCGGTTGTTGGTAATTCAGGTATTAGGTTTTGCGTTCGAGTATTACCCAAAAAAATTGCTAAAAATTATAAATAAAAAGTATTTAGCATGTTATCTAAGTTATAAGGACTAGTTATGTAAATATATTTTAATTAACAAAAAGAAACATCAGCTCTTTTCAAATTTAACAGGATAACAATGTTTTAAAAACTGGTTTTTTAGTTGAACTAATATAGTGGCCGGTTCAACCGCTCGTAGTAGTGTGCGTCGTCGGCCTTCGAGTTGTATGCACTCTTGATAACCATATCGGCCGAGCTGTTCAATTTTCTTTGGAAATGGGTTGTTTTTAACGGGCTAAGTGAAATCCAACTATTCAAGTAAAATAAACTGATTCAAACATGTTTTTATCGGTGTGATTTTTATCACGCTGGTTCAACCCGGTTTTTGAAGAAATCGTCCGGTTCGATCCGGTGTAGAAGTTGGCATACAACCAATCATTGTTGAACCGCTTCCGTCTCCGATTCCCGATCCGACTGGTTTGAACCGGTTTTTAAAACATTGTAGTAAAGGGTTCCTTTCGGCTTGTCTATTATCTCCTAACTTCTAAGTAATTGTTAACGCAATCTCAATATATTTCATAGCAACTAAAAATGTTGACCAAAGCTCAATATCATCTATAAAGGACCGTAGATATTATCTACTCAAGAGTCAAGACCAAACATAGTTTATATCTACTTTTAATAGTTATTATAGCTAATGTATTACCTTGGTTATTAGTTTTTTTTCTAAAAAAATCGGGTATATCCGGATTTTTTTATACCTACCTGGTACCCGAACTAATTAAATATCGGGTTAACCAATTACCCGAAACCCGAATTATCCGACCCAAACTACCCAAATTGAAAACGGGTCCGTCGGTTTAATCAGGTATTGGTTGTTTTCAATGAGCCTACTATCCGCCTCCTATTGCCTTGTTTGGCTATCTGTTCTTTTGTTACAGATTTAGTAAACAACTTCAACACTACTATTTGGATCACCATGTTCTTGTCTCGTCACACATAAAGGGCCATTGTCGGTCTTTAAAACACATCAGCAAATACTAGGGTTGATAATTGATAACACGACACGACAAAATTGAGATGAAACTCAAATTTGAATTCCTGTTCATGTTAATGATCAAAAACACGTCGTGTCGTGTTATATTCGTGTTCAAAATTCGACACGAAATTGACACAATTTAACATTTGTTTTTCGTGTTTGTCGTGTTATGTATAATTAATTATTAATTAATTAAACTTATTGTTATTTAACGTTATCTTTTTGTGTAATGTCGTGTTTGACATTTTTTAATCGGTTCGTTTCCATGTTAGTTAAAGAAAACACGACATCGTGTTGTGTCGTGTTCGTGTTACATAAAACATTATCGTGTCGTGTCAGACAAAAACACGATACGATTGTCGATAACAATGATATTTTTACCTGTGAAATGGGATATTCCTGATAACAATGATATTTAAAAAGGAACACATTAGTTTGTTACCTTGTGACCTTTTTTTTAGTTGAAGAATGTTTTTTTAAACATTTTAGAAGGCTGGTTACTCTTTCATGACATTAACCCAACAATTTTACAAAATCCTCCAATAATTTCAATACATAAACAAAATCCCTATATTAAACAAAATCTTCCAATAATTTCTATACATAAACAAAATCCCTATATCAAACACAAAAACTTACATTAATCTTTTAACTAATTAAAGTCTCTCGTTATTTTAATTTCAGGAGCAACAAAAGAGAGTAAAGCCTCATATTAAATGGGCCTCCATAAAACCTCACTAGACAGGAACCAAGGCCGTTCCAAACATATTTTGGGTCAAGGACGAAAAAGGAAAAAAGACTCTTAAAATATACAAATTTCATCAACTGCTTTTATATTAACTTAATAATTGAAAAAAAAAATTATTTATACTAGTTTCTAAATATAACATTTTCGATTATAAAAACTCATATATTTAAAGAAAAATAATTCTTCTAACTTTTTGAGATGCAAAATCACTAATAATATCTTCAAAATGGATCGTGTCTAACATTATATTAATAAAGTTTGTAAAAAAGTTGGCCCCTTTAAAATATGGGCATTGGACGGTCGCCCCTATCGCCCACCCTTTGGAACGGGCCTGACAGAAACTTGGTATATACATATTATTTAGGAGAACGCAATATTATTTAGGAGAACGCAATTAGACGGCTTCCAGAAAAAAAAAATTAATAGAAAAATAATTCTTCTAACTTTTTGAGATGCAAAATCACTAATAATATTTTCAAAATGGACCGTGTCTAACATTATATTAATAAAGTTTGTAAAAAAATTGGCCCCTTTAAAAGATGGGCATTGGACGGTCGCCCCTATCGCCCACCCTCTGGAACGGGTCTGACAGAAACTTGGTATATACATATTATTTAGGAGAACGCAATATTATTTAGGAGAATGCAATTAGACGGCTTCCAAAAAAAAAATTAATAGAAACAAAATTAATTTTTTTTCTAGTAATTGACATATAACAAAATTGTGAAATTTGGTTGATATTTCTTGTTCAATTCATAATATAATTTTTTTGGAACGACAAGATGTTATTAAAATAAATACTAGTAAGATACCAATTTAAAGAAATTATAAGAAAGAGATTGTAGTTTGAACAGATTATAATAAAGAGATTGTTGTACAACCAATTGACCCAATTTATATCACATTTTCAGCTCATATCAACATACCAAAACTAAGATCAAGTAACAAGTATAAAATAACTCAAACTATGTTTTGCCGCTCATAAATAGTAATGTTGTGAAAGTTCCAAAGAGTTCATATGACCATAATAATAATCACATCAAAACACTTGCGTTGGTAATATTGAAATTACAAGAGTCCGCCACTTGATCATATCTTCAACCTAGTTATAACTAGGAATAGTCACATCCCACCATTTACTACATTACAACCAAATTACTACATTGCAAAGCAAGCCAACCCCCTTATCCACCAAATTAATGTTCGTAGGCATTCGATTTAAACTCATCCTCCAAGTCATAACATTGAGTTTAATAGGAATGAAATTGTTCTATCTTGTGGTGTTGCTCCCCGTCCCCAAGGTGGTATCATCTAAAAAACTTTGGCAGAAGACATCAAATAAAGATAAGAGATATCTAAACTCCAAATCCACCTATCTCGTTGATCTAAGACAACAAATAAATGCAACAGAGATTGTAAATCATCCCAATTGATCATGTTCGACATCCCATATAGGATTTATGTGCAAAAGATAAGACCAATCAACACAATTGAGTCGGTCACACAACAAGCATGACTTATTCTCCTATGATGCAAAAATTCTTCAAAATCTTTGCTTCAAAGAAACAACTCCCAACCAACAACATATAGGAGTAACTAATCGAATTGGTGGCCAAGCAATCCTCTTAGACCGTAAAAAGCCTTTATGGCTTGAACCCAAAGTGAACTTCCGTCAATAAGAAATCTCCAAACCCAAAGTGAAGACCGTAAAAAAGCCAAGCAATCCTGTTGGGTCTTGACCATAAAAAGCCTTTATACCACCAAGTTTCTTATTATCCATAACTTTCTTCTGTGAAACCCAACTACCCAAGCAATAAAAATGGTTTCTCAAGGCTTCCATTGTTTCTAAAATCGTTTCAAGGACTTTAAACAAAAAGATATGGTAAATTCCTAACTTTTCGAAATCGACTTTAACAATGATAGTCTTCCATCAATGTATCAATTGATAGAGCCTTGGATTTCCATGTGAATAATTTTGTAATGGATTTTTCAATAACTCCATTCCAACTTTCAATACGACTCATGTTTGAACAATTGAACCAACCAGTAAACCAAAGTATATAAAAGGAAACTTCATTCCCGAACAACCAATAATACTCACACAGTCTTCCATCTCTTGAAAAAACCTCTCACACCGATCAACTTACTTTTTGTAAGTTGATTTTTCTCCCGAACGCCATAAACAAGCATCCAAAAACTACAGCTTATGGCTCTCACGATTTCAAGAGACCACAGACTAAGTGACATGAGAAACCTCTAAGCTATTATCGCCAACATTGAAGAGCCCCCATCCTCGGGCACAATTTTTTGGAAATGGCTTCATTAAGAGCGACAGAAAGTTCTTCCATGACAATAACAAATAAAAAGGCAATAAGTGGTCAGCTTGTTGTTAGCCCCTCTCGATTGTAAACTCTTTCGTAGGAGAGTCATTAATCAATAGAGAATCAATAAAAGAATTAAGAGGTGTCATAACCCACCCTTTCCACTTACTAAGAAAATCCTTATATAAAAAAATAATAAAAAAACATATGCTTTCTCGAAATCAATATCGAACACCATC